CGCACACAGCAAAACACGCGGGGCCCGCCTCTCCTCCGCCGCGTCGCGGCGGCAGGCTGACCTCTCGTGGAGTCCTAACCGTTGCCCGTACATGAGGAAGCCGCAATGGTTCCTCTGCTCACGTCTTCGCCTATCCATTTGCCGCGGAACGTGTCAATAAGCTCAGATAGCTAAGGTAAGCGGTCGTAATACCAACAGTGCTCAGAGGCTATTCGTGGGAACAATGAGGTATCGACTATTGAAGTCTTTGATTACCCCTACAATGATGAGTGCTGCTTCACGCCGCAATTCGTGCTCCTAGAGTTGTTAAAAGAACGCGAGTTTGGGCAAAAATTCTGACCCCAGACAGGACTCGAACCTCACGCTTTCCGGGCGCGCTGTCCGTTTCGTAACGAGTTTTGCCATAACGCAGCATTCTTGCATAATCGTTGGTTATCCAATGCTGGATAAGTTATGAGTGAAATGGCTAGGTTTGAAAGCGACAACTGCAATATAATCAACAACAGTGATCATCTGCATTATAAAAAGTCACACCTGATTCGATATTCCACAGACAAACTTTTCCCTCCTGGCAACAGGTAAGCAGTCGTGATTGATTGCAGAGGGCGCTGCTTTCAATTGGAAAACGATGCCCAGAAAACACTATCGGCAGCTGAAAAAGTAATTTCTCAGAAAGGCAATGAAGCATGTCTGTGCACAGAACGTTGCAACGCACGAAGAATTAGCGTAGCCTGAGGCAAATGCGCCGCTCAAACTTGCAGCCTCTCCGAGGAGACCCAATGAAACCTGATTACGTTGCACATTTCAAAGGAATCAAGTACCCGAAATACTTGATAGTTTTTTTATCGCCTCTACATCATGTCGCAAAGATTTGCAGCACAGGCAGGGATGAAGAACAAAGGTTTCAAACAAAGTTGATCACTTCCTTATTGGGATTCAACACGCACTCTACTTCCATCCAGAATCATAGGGGCCTATTTAGTGCGATGTAGCCTATACAATGAGTTGCGGGGCAAGCCCTGCAAGTCAGCGTTTTATCCTCTCGCATGGATCCGGTACCAAATCAAAATCCTTGGAGGGCAGAAGACTCGGTTGGCTGGGTGAGAGTCGATACAGGATTTTGATTCCGGGCGGGTAGTAAGATGTTCTCCCCTGCCACTACACACCTCCGCCGCCCCTTTTCCCTCCGGACAGATAAAACTTTTTGGATACGGGTCTTTCTCCTGACCTTTGAGTCGTACATACACCTTCCAACTAATTTCTTTTGAAGAGAAGTGTCAGGTCGACGCTTCTCATCAGTTCAAGAAAACTCACCGATTCTATGATGGATTTCGAGGTGGCACTTGTTTCCATAATGCTACCACGTGGTGAAACGGATTTCGGAGATACTAAGGCTGCCTCCTAAAAAGCAGAGGATTTTCAAAAAAAGATGGGCGCTTCATCCAAGTAATGGCATAATGTTGATAACGTCGCAGCCCTTCGGGATGGTAAGGCATCGTTCACAGTCCGGGTTTTCTGAAACGCGGCGGTTCGGCGAAAAGCTTTCAATACGTATCGACTGGCGGTTGGGCGAAGAGTCTGGCGGTTGGGCGAAAGGGTTTTGATACGAATCGACCGGGCGTTTCGCCAAACCGCGACGTCCCTCGACGAAACGCTAGCTCGATCGCCGTGGCGTTTTTCGCCAGCGAAATCGATACACATCTATTGCTTTTCGCCCAACCGCCGAACCGCGGCGGTTCGGCGAAACTAGCGGTTGGCGATTCTCCGATCGATGACTATTTTTTGCTTTTCTCCCAACCGCCGTTTCGTCAGGGTCGCAGACTGTGAACAGCGCCTAACGGAAGGAATGAGTCCGCCTCCAGCTGCCTTGTTCTACCAACAGTGATCGGTTAGCGATCGATCTAGGAAGAAAACAAGAGGGAAAGTCGCAGGTGGATTCGCTCCATTCCTCATGGATACCGCCCGGAGTGATGTGGAACTACAATTGAGAAATGACTAAATCTGATAACTAGTACGAAATACCTTGTTTCGGATACGATCGGTTCGCCATCGTCCCCAAAAACATACGTACAAAATGAAAGCGATCACACACACCAGCAACATTAGCCAAACGACTGCCAAGTAAAAGCGCAGCTGCGCTTCCAGCCACGAAATGCGAGATCTGAAAAAAAACAGCTTTAAAAAGACAAGATCGTGAGCCATTTCAAAAACGTTTAAATAATTTACTTGAGTGCACTGCGACTGTCGGATTCCAGCTGATGTGGTGTCTGCTTAGAATGAGCATCTCTTTTCGACGATTTGGGATAAAGAAATGGGTCAGAAGCATTACCTGGAACGAAAAATTGTGAGATTAGGCGCGCAACTTTGAATGCAGTCTGCTAAGTTGGGGAAGGCATTGGAACACTCTTTGTGCAAAAGTGGGCGCAGTTCGGCTTGGTGGGGGGGGAGGGGGTGGGGGGGGGGCATTTTGCTGGTTGGAGCTAGATCGTTCATTGCAGATGCCTCTTGCGGAGAACTGTACTTTCTTGTAAAGCTGAGTAAGCAGCAAAGCGAGCATCGTCCTTCCTTAAGAGACATGTAATTTAGCAGGAATAGCAAAAGACTGCTGGAAGAGCAAAGCGGTCTTCCCAAGCCGAACAGCTCCCAAAAGTGAGATTACCGTGGAGAAGATAAAGACTGTTGTTTTTAAGGTGAGGAGGCTTCAAGGGGGGGGGGGGGAAGGTGACCCTTTTCTTCATGAAAATGGAGCCCCGCATCACAGCAACTGTCTTCTCGAGAAGTTTCTCAAATGCCCTTCTCGCACAGCCAGAGCCCCTAACGCTGTTCTGTAGTCTCGTAGAGAATAACAATCACCGATGTTTTCAGAATGATTGGCGGTAGGAAGGTAATGTAACTTCCCGACAAACTCATGTTGAACTCGGCGAACAACGCTGGCCACCTACAAAGACAAATTTCAATTGGACCATCTCCATCTGAATTCAACAACAGAATCACCATTTGAATGTACGTTCGGCCCACAACCGCCATTGAGGAGGAGTTACCTCATGTGGAGACTGAGAACCAATGAAAGGTATTCGACCTTCTTGCAAACCTGAAATTGGGGCCAATTAATAAAAAAAGACTGAAATCCTCACAGAAAACGCAACGAACTCGAGGAGTTGAAAGGAAAGTTGCCATGTTCATGCACAACAAAAGCCAACCAAATCGTCCAAATAGCGAATATGACCATGAGAGAACGCTAAAATGAAAATTGGAAAAACACTAGCAACTAAACAACAAACGTGCAAGGACGAGATTTAAGAGGTCTGTTGGCATGAGGTGCTTCATTTGACAGGACAGTAAGTCATCCGTATTATCGTGAGACATGACCAGGGCACATCGTTGTTGGGGAATCCCCAACAGGGGGGGGGGGGTCGTATTTGGTCGCCAGGAGAGGGGGTCGTATTTGGGCTGAGAAAAATTTATTTTGATAGTTGATTTTTCTCGCTTCACGGACGTTGTAAAAGGGGGGGGGGGGTGTTCGGGGGAGAGGAGGAATCGTACTTGCTTGTTGATGGGATAGGGAGGGGGTCGTATTTACTTTCTAGTTTCTGACCTTCTGGGAAAGGGGGTTGACTTTTCGTGATTTTTCCTGTTCCATGCCCCTGTCCCCAAAAAAATGGGGGGGGGATCGTATGGACTCGACTGGACCAAAATCCCCTACCAATGGTGTGCCCTGAACATGACTTCATGAGCGTTGCAACGGTGCATGCAGCTGATCGGGCGATCAGATACTTTATTCGTCATCTTAAAGACATACTGTACACTCACATCCGTAGATCCTCTTCCTTCCCGTGAGGTTAGTTGGTCGCAGCTGCAATAGCGTGACATTTTCCCCACTCAAATGTGCATGGGAACGGGGCTGGAGCGTAGTGATACTCGGGTGCCATCCGGGACTCCGTCTGAGCTGCCGCACGGTCAGCCACAGCCAACGATGGCTAAACGCGTCGCTTCTTTGCCCTCACACTCCTAATCGCTCTTTAACTTGGACTGAGTTTTCGCTGCAGGATTCTGGTACCGACACAAGGGCTACACCATGAAGCGAGCGCGGGCGGAGTCTCAAACGACAGCCAGATATCACTACCCTCCAGCCCAACTGCAGCGCGCTTTCGATGTCCGTACAGCTGCCAACCCATTTTTCTCGCATATGGCAAAAGCGCTTACCGAGGTGAATGTGCAGTTTGTCTTTCAACTGAACTGGTCTTCTTACCCAAAAACATGCTTCAGTTGATTGCTCTAGGTGCTCTGATCCAGCTCGAAATGGTTCCATAACCCACAAAAATATTGATGGAGCTCTTGTCTATTCAGAAATCTAATCACAAATGCTGAACAAGCAAGCCAGTGCAACGACCTAGTGATAGCGCTCAGGAAGACTCAGGAAGACAACGCCGAAATTGTTATGCAACCCTTGTGGAGCAAGACAGTATCCAGAAATCGCCCCCATATGTTCGGGAGTCGGAAATCGATCAAGGGTAAATCGCAACACATGCAATCCAAGCAAAAGAAAGACTCCAAGCAAGAGACATGCAAAGTGAATTCTTGATATTTCAGCAAAGGCAACCTCCTGCTAACTTAACAACTTCAACAAACCTGGAAAATTCTAGTTCTTGTGACAAAATACAAAATTCTGAGTCGATTACTGGAAACCGGGTTCCGATACGGTTGAGCTCCTCCATAGCTCCAGTCTGCAGAGTTTGAACGGCAACGTCCTATAACATGCTACAAATATCTCACACACGATTAGAGAGAGGAGAGAGATTGTGAGGTTAGAGATCAGCTGGACGCGTGGAACGCTGGGGAACCCCGGCGGGAGGGTGGTCGTATCTAGTCGCTGGAAGGGAGGGAACCCCGTTCGACGCGGTTAGTTGAGTAAGTGGTAGAAAGTTGGGAGAATTTAGGAAGATGGCAGGGTGGGAGAGGAAGCAGGTGGTAGTAAAAGAAAAAATCCTCTGGAGGGGTCGTACTTTTAATTCTTCACCAACGGCAGGACATGTCCTGGAGTGGGAAGAAGATTCGCTATAGAAAAGCCAATACAGCAACAAGGATTGAACTCAAATCGAATAAGTTGCTCGTTGTGAACATAAACCGATTTAGCGCAGGGGTGAAGGGCAAAGATTCTATGGAAACAAGGAAGTTAATCCACAAGAAAAACATAAACTGGTCTCATAACTGCATGCTGCGTTGACGTGCGAACGCATGTCTATTTGTGACAGGTGCGTTCCATATGAGATTGTTATGAATTCCAGCCGTAACACTATTGCGCTACGGTACAGTCACACGTACAGGATCGCAAAAGTCAAATGAAAAGAGTTACGGGGGGGGGGGAGGGAAGCAGAGAAGAGGAGACGACAAAGTCACACATTTCTTGCTCCACACCTCTCAATCCTCTCGCACTCAAATTTTTCTTTCCCAACACTGAGAAGTACAAAAATAAACTGTGCGCTGATCAGCTTTTTTGGGGCGCGCCAAGCTCGGCTAAGTCCCGCAAGTAGTTGTAGGGGCCCTGTCTAATTGAAAGTACCACTACAATTTCGATTGGGAGTAAAAGTAATAGTCAGTGTTGTTGGTCTTACAGACAAGTTTCTAACTTTTAAGCAATTTTGGAGAGATAAGGGGCTTGATAAGATCGAAGGGGCGACCCAGGGGTTCGATGCCCGGAACATTTGCACAGTTTGTAGCGCCACTTGCCACTGCACCATCTCTCCTTGCAGAATAACCAGCTGCGGAAGCAAAGCGTGTTGCGCTTGAATCTGAAAGCCCGCCCCCTCCCCCCCTCACCACGCTTGAGCATGACCCCAACACTGTTACAGCCTCTCAACGCTCCACATAAAATTGTGGACGATTTCATGCAGAGCGAGTTGGATCTCTGAGGATAATGGATAAATCTGAGGCTGAACCTCCAAGATACGGTAAGATAAACGAAGAGAAAAAGGTTTTCAGACCGACTATCAGTTTGATGAAGAACGAAAACTAGAATAGACCTTTTCTATCGATGTCTTCTTGAATGTCTCTTTCATCAATTTGTGATTCAGAAAGCCGTCTCTTTTTCCTTCTTTTCGACTCGAAAAACGATGGCCATAACTTCCGCATGGGACATCTGCAACAATCGCGGCTGTTTGTAAGACGAATAGTGCGGATTAAGGCAAATTAGCAAATTCCAATACGGGAGGTGTTTGGGTGCAGAGAGCATCTGAGGGACTTGAAACAACTATAACCATTTTTCATTCTAAACTTCTGGGGGAAACTAGTTGCCAGCTAGCTGCGCACAGGATGGCTTTTTCGCATCGGGAAAACTTTTCACTCGGAGGAGTTAGTTCACCCACTCCGTAGCTCCTGCGGCTGAGGCATTAAATTGGCACCGTGGCTTGAAAAGTTTTTTGTCTGCACCTTGCAGCAATAAATAAAGCTCATTATAAAGAAAAAAAATCGAGCGCTGAAATTTTTATATCACTTTTTCACTTGCTTTCACAACAATTTTTCTACCAGAGATCAACGCAGTTGAAGTGACCACCAGGTGGTCGGCACCTCTGCGTCCTCTCTCCTAATCAAGGTTAGGCTCAGAGCACAGACGAGCAGAAAAAACCGGAGGATAGTCTCGATGAGAGAAGATAATGTTCCCCAAGCCTAAACCTTGATTAGGAGAAGTAAAACTGAGGTGCTGCCGAGTGTCGAGTGGTGCTCCTCCCTCCACCCCACCTATGCTAGCTCCAAAAAATCGACCAAAAATCGAGTTCTGTAAAAACAATGCTGCTGATAGTTACTAACAGTAGGGGGATTCTTGAGCAAATCTGGAATTAGAATAATAGGAAAGTATTGTTGCACCGGAATGCTCCACCTTACTGAAACAACGCCCAAATTTATGAGGCTTACCTTACTGGAACGAAATCGCTCAGATGAGGAATATCAGTGTTGAAAAGTTGCAAAGCGAACTTTCTTTTCTCTTCTAAGCTCAGTCGCTGAAGATCGAATGTAAGACAAGGAGCGTAGAAGAACATCTGAAACGCGTCAGTTGATGAAGGATCTGTTTTTGGTCTAAAGGAAACCCTACCTGCATATAGAAATCGATGACAAGGCCAATGGATGCAAACATGCAGAATTCCTGAATCTCGGCAATTCGTGTGGCGTAGCCAATCGCAAGGAACGAAAGTTCCATGACAAAGTACTTGCATAGCGAATAGCCCTCCTGGGCCAAACCATGAGCAATTCGTGAGGACACATCCAACGTCGGTGGCGTATACACCACAGCCCTAGCAAAGGAATGCAAATCAATAGGGTTGATGTAAATATGCCGCGGCTAGAGCACCAAAACGAAATAGCATACCGTGTTATACAGAGTGTATTTTCAAGACCCAATATTAGGGCGATATAGGGGAATATTTCTGCACCCCACAAGGTGGGACTCAATTCCAGATGAGCACATACTCCTGGAAAATGTGTCAGAATTAATGAGCCGTGCATATGAATTCTCTGGAAAATGGAAACACAGCAATAGCTTTGGTTGCCAGCTCTTAGAAATAGCCGCCTACTTTTCAAAATTGAAAAATAGCAACTTTCAATCGCGTCTTTCCGGAACTTGTTATTGTTTTTCGATGGTGACAGCCATGTCGTGGCTCATTTCGAGAACGAATCGATGCCATAAAGCAGAAGGTTGCCGGCTCAACAGTGCATTAGTCACGCGACTCCCTTTAAACCTCAACTTCTGCCTAGAGCCAATGCGTGACACAGAAATTAATCCTCTATCGAAGCCTCACAAGTCGACCCCCCCTTAACATTAGGAATAAGCATAAAAATGAAGAGTTAGCCAATTACAACAGAAGAAAACGTTAGATCAACGCAACTAACAGACGTTTGTGCAGGTTGTTTGCCCAACTAAGCGCATGTGTACACGCTCACGAGGTAAAACGAAAGCAAAAAGTGCAGACGGCCGCATCACTTCCTCCTTGTGCAGCCTCTATTTTTCCCATGTGCAGTCCGTGGTCTCGGTTGAAAACAGAACCCTTCTCAAGACTAGGCTACGCTCACACTTTTCGGCCCTGACAATCGCGGAATTAGGGGAATCGGAAATAAATGCAATCTTTCTGTGGGTCCTCTGACTCTGACCTACGCATACACTTTTTTTCACGGGTTCTCTAAGGTGATTCGGCAATCTTATCTTGCCTATAATTACGATTTTACTACTTTTTACACAGTCTCCGAGATCTGGATCGGAACTTGGATTCGTCTAGAAATCCGTCCCCAAGAGGTTTGGCCGTCGGTTTGACCCACGGATATCAAAACCCCTCGGCACGAAACCCCTTGGAACACGCGTCACAGGCCAAATTACTTCAAATCACCAAATTAGGCGAAAACTTATCTCTGAAGTGGTTTGAGCCTTGAACACGGACGTCACATCCGCCAAACGCCTCGCGCTAAGAAGACAAGCAAAAACAGGCACCTGGCGCCAAGAAGACAAGCAAAGACAGGTGCCAATATACCTAATCGCCAAATGCAAAAAACTCGCAAGAAGTGGTTTAAACCCTGATCACGACTGTCACAAATACTGGTTACGAAAACGCTTGGCCGTAGGTGCATAGCTGCCTCTAGCACGGATCCCACGCGATTTCTAACAAAAATATGCGAAAAGACAGCTGGGGCACATGGCTAGACAAGACCTATCTGGCTGTCTACCACAGTGAGCTCTCTTTTGCCAAGCCTAACCTTCAGCGGTGTCAGGGATCGCTGTCCCGGAGGAAAGTTGTGGACGAGCAGAAAAGCCGATGCCGCTGCGTTACCACCTCCCTTTTCACATTTCCTACAATACCAACTGAATGAGATATTTATGTTCAGGGGAAATTATCGCATGCGACAAATTTTCAGCCACTCTGGTACTTGACGTCAACTGTCTCCATCACCTTCAGCGCGAGCTCCCAGTGGTTCGTGTACGAATGCGATGTTACGCGTTCCAGGAATTAATACTATCACTTGGGGAGCAGGGTTTCAGCCGTTTCTTATTTGTAAGTACTCTAGCCCAGGCCTCGTGGCGCGTGCTCTCAATGCAAAAATTCGCCAAAGCGTGATTCAGTGGGACGAACTTAACCCCGTTAGGCCAAAATCTGTAGATTACGGCCAAAAGGAAAAATACGTTAATCTGCCTGATTTTGTGTAGAGGGCTGAAAATAGTCTCTACTCCTTTACAAATTCATGGCGTTGAGTCCAGATGATATCTAGTGCTAATGTGAACATCAAAGAAGGAAAAAAACCAAAAAAACAAAAAAGAATTAGAAATGCTATGAATAAAGTCCAGATTAGAGATACTTTGGATAAAAGAACAGGAAGATAAGAGACGGACACAACCTTCCAACACTGAATGATTGCAACGTGCTGCCTCTGTACCACAAATAAAGGAGCACGCTCCCCTTACAAGGGAAGCAGAGAAGAGGATTATTTATTTACCAGTTCGGCTGACGCGCACTATTGCGCGCATGGTCAAACCTATTCTACTGACCACTGACAGGATTTCTCTGCTGATAGCTAACACTTGGCCTAATCCCATGTCTTGGAATACATAAGACCACTTTGTCATAATTCTGTTTCATATTCTTCTTTCTAATGAACGTTTGCCAATGTCTGGTGCTTATCACATTCATAAAAACACCCACCATTTGCTGGAAATAGGACGGCTTAGCGTTGAAAGAAATTGGTGGCAACAATATCGAAACATTAGTGAAAGCTCGTTATATCCTAGTGCTTCCGTTGAGCAGCACTAACTATCCCTCTGCTGTGCTCTTACTCATTCGCTTACTGACAAACATCAGGCTTTTACTTTGAGGGTGAAACCCTTGATTTTAGCGGTCGAATCAATTTCGACTATCTCGCTAAGGAGTAGAAACATAACGCCTCAATAAGCTTTGGGCTTTGCTCCACACCGTTCCCTCCTGCCTCCATAGCTTCGTAGAACAAGTCCTACCATCGCTGCGACGCAAGTTATGAAGTTGATGACCCTCCCTTTGTGAGGCCCTTTATGATACCTTATCAGGTGTTATCAATTCCTGCCACCCACCAGTAATGTTCCCATCCTGCTCCCCATCCTACGTCTTGGAACCAACGTCCCGTCGTTGCTGCAGCCGGCGGTATGAATTTGGTGACACTCCCCTTCCAAGGCTCCTTATGGCATCTTATCAGCTGCTATCACTTCTTGCCACCACAATTAATAGTTCAATCATGCCTCCTACCTTATCGTCTTTGGAAAGTAACGTTAACCGGTTGCTGTTGCCCGCACTTGAATATTGACTACCCTCCACCTTCTCAGGTTCCCTATGCTATACCCTTATCAGCTCTTATCACTTCTGCCACGCCGTCAGTAGTTTTCCTGCCCTAACCTCTCATATTTATTAACCAGTCGGATCGCCCGGCTAACGCCGAGCTCTCCTCCTTCTTGGAAGCCCGGCTTCGCCGGGCTCATGCAACTGCTTTAGAGTCGTGACTAATCGCTGTCTTCTAATCAAATGAATGTAGAAACGCGCCATATGATGGCAGGGCACTTTCAATGAAAAGTTCAAAATCTGGTCATGGATAATCGATTACTCCTCCCATCTCATGACAGCCATGGATGCTTCGGTCTCCGCAGTCGCTGCGTGCTCCTGTTCAGGCGAGCGTCGGTCACGCCAATATGGTACCCCTTCACCTCACCTCAGCTATTCCCCGCTCAGACACTTTACAGGTCACGCTCAGCTGCTGCGCGAATAGCCCGTGCAATGGTTCTGACGTAGAATACAATATATGTAGTTATGTTGGGAGGGTGTTATGGACTATCAAAACGCTACGCACAATATTTGATAATGCAACATTAATCGGTTCAATTCCGATTGCGGTCAATCCATTTTCTTATCATCTTACCGCAACCGTAGACGCCTTACCGCCGCAGACACTATGTGCTCCTAATCGCGAAATCGCCGTTCTCATCTGGTATCCCCCTCACCACATCATATCCCAGTGACCCTATTTAGCTGGCGCCCACTCCCGCACGTGGATGCAGCCGCCACGTGAGCCAACATAGGGACACTACGCCGCCACTGTTCTTACCACCGCCTTGCTCGTGCTCACTTCCACTTCCTGAGCGAGCAGCTCCTGCAATATATCCAGGACGCATTACCTTAGTGGTTGGCTTAGATAGGGAAGCTATTTCACATATCCGCAACAGTTCCTAGTTCGTTGCTGTAACAGGAGAGCCAGTCTTGCCGGTTCTCTCCTTCTGCTTGCGCACCTGCTGCCCTTAATCCAAGCCGGACGCTACGCATCCCCTTACTGTACCCAGTTTGCCCGATTCAATCCATATGCCTCCTTCCCCTGCATGGGCTCAGATCCGACTGAGTACGCGCAAGGTGAGGATGGGAAACCGGGTTCAACTGGCGATCCTAACTCCCATCCTTCCCACCTTTACTCCATTCCGTACTCGCCGCTCCACCCCCCCCCGCTTCCCCAATCCCCCCCCCCCTCCACCTTGCCCCTTGCACGCGCTTACGTCCAACTGCCACGCGAGCAACCCGTGCAATGGCTCGGAGTGTAGTGGTTTTGTTATATAGTGGAGAGTGTTATCACAACCAAAACAACTTCTTAGTTCGTTACGGTAACATGGATTGGCTGACAGTTTTGCTAGCGGTTGTTTCCTCATCCATTGGTGTGCGTTTTTACTGAAACGCG